CCCTCTGTTTCATTATCAGCTCCACTTCAAGAGCTTCATTCACTTCAAGTGCAGATCCCCTCCACTTCCAAACTCCTTGCTATGCTCAGTTAGCATACCTCCTGCTTTCATTTTAAGTATTTCACTCCCTCCTGTGAGTTTGTAAGCTACAGCTTTTCTCCTTGGATATGCTGCGCCACAGAAAACGTGAGTCTAGACATGTTTGAGAACAGGAGATCGTCTTGCACATTAGGAGCGTAAATCAGCCATAACACTGATTAATATTCTGCTTGGACTGTAACTCTAGGTACTTTAAACTCTACGACGGAGGCTCAAGAGCTTGGAGTTCATCCTGTTACCAGGGGATTTCCGTTTGTAACACCCATTTTGTCCGTCGCAGCCATTGCGTTCTTGAGTAAGACACTTTACCTGCTTTTCCTGCTGATGGTGGCGATTGTATGGCAGACGCTTCTGCCAGTCTGCCCCATGCAGATGTGGCTTCAGTGTAGAAGTACAGCCCATTTACCATTTAACAAACCATAATATTCTCTTTTTTAAAACCTCATACCTGTACTTTCTCAATAGTTCTCCTTTTTCTGTTTTGCAGCTTCTATTTTTTGTAAATATGAAGAATCTACAGTCTTAGTCTACCAATGTACAGACTGCTCTGATTTATAAAAGTCTAATATTAGACTTTTACTGTGTGGATAAGATGCAATAGAGAGTACAGTATGGTGTGGGGTACAGTGTAGTATTTGAGCAACAACAAAGGCTTAATAAGCTGATTCCTGGCTCTATTTTGAAAACAACAATTTTTAAAAGATGATTGCAAATCTGGGTTATATAAAGTATTTTAGTGACATTGTAGTTTGGTTAAAAACTAGACATCCCAAAGTATCAGTGGAGGTCAGAGAGTAACAGTTAAAAATATATACCCAAATGCAGCCAAATATCTTTTAATTTCTGTCACAAGTGGCCATTACCAACTGTAGCAAATTGTAGGCAGACCAGGCTTGCAACAGAGTGCTTTTAAAGTCCTGGGTAGGGAACCAGTTTCTCTTTTTTTTTTTCTTTTCCAAGCTCTGACCAAAGCTTTACTGCTCTCCTCACTCTCTTCTGCACAATGGACAAATCACAACTTGAATCTTTTTCATATAAACTCATTATGGAGCTGGAGACTTCACTATCAGTACATTTTTTCTTTAACAACCTTTGTGTTATGCAGTTATGCCCGAGTTCAGGGTCTCCACTGCGCCAGCCTCACTCTTCAGCTTTTTCTTCAAAAAGGCATTCTTTTTTTTTTTTCTTTTTCTTTTTTTACTGATACAAAAAAAAATAAAAAAAATACAATACAATGCAAAAAAATGAATAGACCTTAACAATGCTTTAAACATAAAATGTTAAAGCCATCAGATTTGAATATAAAGGCAAGCCACAGCAATGGTTGAAAATATACACACATTCGTTATTTTATACGATAAAATAACGTTGCATCTACGTTTATATCTTAGTTGAAATATCACGATAGTTTGAGGTAACATTTTTGTCAATTTCTTTTGAAGAACTGGAGCAGAACTGACAGCATGATTTCCAAACAGCAGGCTAAAGTTAAAGATTTCAATGAAAAATAGTCTGAAGGAATGATGATGCCGTCTTCCTGTCTCCTTGAGAAATACTCTTTAAGTGTATGCGTGGGTTCACACTCTGAGCCGTTGTTCCACCTTCCTCCTTACTGTGAAACTTGCTCTAATCCTGAGTTTGTTTATTAATGAAGGGGAAAAGGAAATGAGCACAGGTTGTGTTAAGAATATATAAACCGGTGGATTCTTTCATCAACTTATGCATACCCTTGTATATGAATGTATGAATTTGCATGTAAATTTTTGAATTTCTGCTTCATCATCACTTGGACAATATGATCATTATCATATCAAAGACATCACTTTTCAAGAGGCAATGCTTGTTGCTCAAAAGTTTTGAAGTTGTTTAAATCATTCTGTGCAGCTTCCACAACAGATGTTGGTTTTATGAATACTTATAAGTTGGTAAACTAGGTTTTTGTGCACCCACATACCTTAAATGACCCATTAATTGTAATTTATTTGTTTAGGATTCATTAAATAATTTAAAAGCAAAATGTAGTTTGTGTTAGAAATGTTTTTTTTTTGTTTTTTTTCATGTTTATCCAACAATGATCCCTGCATCCTTCAGTCTTTTATAATTTGTCATTGTCCTGCTAAAAATCAATAGTATTGATCTCTTAAGACTATATTTTCACATCAATAGGGATCTGTAGGGACCTTTTACCAAGTTTTTTATTTTTTTTGTTTGTTTGGTTTTTTAGCTCATTTTAGAAGTCACTACATTTTGTTGCTCACGGCTTCAAATCATGTCATTGTTTTGACTGTGGCCCGGTCAGGAGAGTAATGAAGAGACTTGAAATGAGCTCTACATAAATGAGAATAATTGCAATCTGTAACAATAATGGTAAATAATGTTCCCAATGGCTCTGGTTTCTGAATTGGAAATAACATATTAAGTTTGAATATATCAATCATAAAACCCACTTTAAATTAACTTTAGATATTATGTTAGATTACGTTGTTGTTACCTTTCATTTTACCTGGTATTGTGTGTTTCCACAGTGAGAAAGGATTTCTAGTCTTATCATTAGAAGCTGTAATTTTCAGCATTGATCTTCTAAAATGGTAATGATGAAGTAGATACTACACTTTCCAACTGATGTAAAGTAACCAAACTTTATTTGCAACAAACTTGAATATTGATAACACAGATTTTTTGCTCCAGTAGGAATTACAACCTGTTCCTCTGCACCAATAACTTGTGATTATTTTTGCAGCAGTGACGCTTTGAAACTGAATTAAAATCACTTCTATGGAATAATTTGCAATAATTTACAATATTTTTTTTTATTTTATATATTTCTCTCAATTACACTCTATAAAAGAGTGTCGGTTTAATTTGCCTTGAAATCAATTTCTGGTATTAGTAATACATTTAATCTTAACACTGTAAACCACTGATATTCACCATAAGTGACTTGGTTTAAATATTATATTATCTAAAGATTGAATTGAATAGTTCTAAAAAAAAATCTCTTGTCGACGCAGAGAAAGAAACCTCTGGTTGTAGATGTTTTATATGATTTGTTGTATCAGAGTCTAATGTTGTATTTAAAATGTTTTCAAGGTTGAAACTGTGTTTTTATCTTGTTTTGCTGTCATATACCCCAGCGCACGCTTGAAAGAAAGATGTTTAATCTCCCATGATGTTCTTTTCCTGGTTAAGTAAAGGTTACAAACAAACGATATGTGAAAATAAGATGTGTGTACTTGCTATAGAGTTTAAAGTTGATGGAAATATGAACCTTTTTCTGAAGTTGATTCTTCACTTCAACCAACCCTGGTTCCTGGAAAATGTTCCTACAGTGAATACACATGAGATTATCTTTATGTAGAAACAGATTTTGAAGGGTTTGTAAACTGGAGCAAAGAGGACACTTTGAAGTTGTTGCACTTCCTACATAAACCATTGAGCTCTGAGGCTTTAACAGCACTATATGCTTTTTCAGGTTGCTCAAAAGCATCATCAGGTGGTGCAAATCGCTGTGGTACATGTTTCATTATCAATGCTGTGTGACGCGCTATAGCATAACTGGATCAAGTTGTCATGGTAACTATGCACTGGATAGGCTGCATCAATACATCGTGTGTCACGCTGTCGACAGGAAAATCTTCTACATTTTGATCTTCAAGTCTTCCTATTTGATGCTTTTTGTTAAAACTGCAGTCCTAGCTCTGTAGTCCTAAATTAAACTTTTCTACATTTGAATGAAAAATGCTGTTAATTATTTCCTGAATGCCAATTTGGAACACAATATACCACTCATCTCATTGAACATGAGGAAAAGCAGAACAAAAGAAGAGAGTATGTGCCAAAGAAACAAAAGCATTCACTGGGCACTCAGTGCAGAGCATCTGTGTAACCCAGTAATAATTCTCATAAATTATACATTTTCACAGAGTTCAGAAACTGTAAATAAGCTTACTTAAATCCAGTAAAGTTTGCCACATCGACTGGATATCCTTATTTTGTTTAATAGCAGGAAGGCAGTGGCTGGTTATGGATTTCGCTGCAATATAACGATGCAACATTCTTGCATCGTAAGTAGGCAAAAATTTGGTTTGGGTTATTGTTAAATGTGACGTTGGAATTTTGGGGGGGTTTGGGGGTTCCCCATATGTGTAGCTATTTGGCATTTGCATAGGCTGGCACAATTTTACAGTTCTCCATGCTGTCAATTGAAGTACCAACTTTGTTATTGACTGCACACACATGTGAGCCATGAAATGAATTGTTTCTCCCAACAGCAGCTCAATATCTCTGAGACCCAAAGCAATTGTATTTCAAACCATTTATGGCCTGATTCTCCTCAGTCGATGAGCCCCCGCTAATTGATGGGCCATGCTTTTTTGTTTTTTTACACACACACACACACTGCTCAGTATGCTGTAGGTTGTTCAGCACAGCCAAGCACAGGGTTGCCGGTTTATTGACTCAGTTGTAATGACAGCATTAAGAATACGTGAGAATCTGGCTGTGCTCTGATGAGACAGGATGTCGAAGCTCACACACCAAGACCTGGGATTTAACATGGAGTGCAGCAGCTCCAATTTGGCATGCTTGATTTAAGAGGTGGTGATGTTCATAAAACTGCTCTGACATGGAGTTCTTATAGATGACCTGACCCTCACCCTGACCTGGGCTCCTCCTTTGCAAAATTTGCTCTTCACAAAATGAAACGCTTTAGCTTAAATTAAGTCATCATATTTTGATTTTATTTTAGTCAAAATTTTCTGGTTTTACTGGTTTTATTTATGGAATAAGAAGTGCCAGACATGAACAGCAATTGTAATCTTAACTCCTTAGAGAAGATACTTGAATCCCAACGTCTGACCGTGACTGAAGCAACTGGAAAATGGGGTCGGACTCTTTGGCTGGTTGTTACGACCCGGCTCAGCCAGGGGAAAGGGAAGTAACATTAAAGAAACCTAGGTGGTAAGGTTTTAACAATTTAGAGATTTATTGTTGGGTTCAACAAAATAAAAAGGGTTAAAAAAAATAGTCAAAACATAGGGACTAACAAAAAGTACTAAATAAAATAAATTACACAAACAATCAATTGTAAACCAAAAACTTAACCAAACAAAAAAAAAGACTTTTAGAACGGGATACACAAAACAAACTACAAATCTCTAACAGAGATTCAAAGATCCCTCACAGGGACAACAAGAGTAACACGAGCTTAGCAAGGCTAACAAAGGTTATCAGAGCTTAGCAAAGCTAACAAGGTTAACAGAGCTTAGCAAAGCTAACAAGGTTAACAGAGCTGTCAAAGCTAACAAAGGTTAACAGAGCTGTCAAAGCTAACAAAGCCATCAGAGTAAGCTTACAGCAGTGAAACACCTAACAAAGTGGCAAGCTGTCAAAACAAAAGGAAACAGCCGCGCCTTCTCCCAGGATGTCCTTGGTTCTTAAAGGGAGGCCTCAACAGTGATTGGTGGAGCCGGCAATTGATGACCCAATCACGGTAGGCCTCAGGATGTAGGACAGGACAGCAGGGCAGCACTCACTTCCAGATGGAGTCAATCTAATTAGCCACTGAAAACAACAAACAAACACAGAAAAGGCCACTGGCCGTAACACTGGTTATCGTCCTACCAAAAAACAAAAAAAAAACAAAGAACTTCTTTGTGTCAATTTGGTATCTTCTCGTTGGAGAAGAAAGAAATAATATGTGGGGTTTCCCAAGGTTCCATCCTGGGGTCCCTTCTGCTTAATATGTACATATGCAGATGATACATAGCTCTACATTACCAAATGACTCCAGACCCATCCAAGCACTAAACAAATGCATAGACCAAATCACAACATGGACGTGCCATAACTTTCTTTAGCTGAACAGAGACAAAACAAGTTATCGTGGGACCTAAAGAGGAACGATCTGGAGCACATATGTCAAACTCAAGGCCCTGGGGCCACATGTGGCCCGCCATGTCATTTTATGTGGCCCGCCCCAGCATTTTATAGGCCGATGATTGACTTAAAATAGGTTTTGAGCACGAATTGACTACAAACTACATCTCCCACAATGCATTCCGATTGTTACCAGCCAACATTACGGCTTCTCGCCACTAGAGAGCAGCAGAGTCACCTCAAGCTGCTTATTGATTTTCCCAGCGAATAAAACTGAGACATCGGCAGGTCGCGCTAAACTTTTTTTGTTATCCGTTATCTTGACCGACAACATTAAAAAAAAAAAAAAAATTATCCATGAAATTACAATCATATTAACATCGGCTATTTAGTCGCATTTTATGCGGTTTAGTTAATATTCACCTTGAATCCAGATCCCATCACAGATTAAGCAGATAAATGTATCTACATTTTTCTCAAAGTGACAAAAACCACTGACTGAGGCCCCAATAACTTTTAATAAATTAAATTAAGC